AACTGCACAAAAAACTCCACTTTAATAATTAATGGAAACTAGTTACTATCATTGCCCAGATTCATCATTATTAGTATCAGTAGTGGGCATTAAAAAATATGCCAATATCCAGACAGTGAATGCGTTGTCTGATTTTACAACGGATGTAGCCTGCTTTAGCGGGTTCTTCTATGGTCTGTCTTTGGCTTTCTGAACTTGTATTATTGTTTTCGTTACTCATTCAGTCGTCGAAGGTACCTGCCCTCAACAGTAACCTGTTGAAAGTTCGCAGGGGGTGGAAATATCATAAACAGTTATTTTGTGACGACCATTTAGGCTAATGATGAAGCACAGTCTAACGGGTTCGACTACAGTTCGCACAGGACCAAACCATGACACCTGATGGTGAGAAAAATCCTCTCACTCCCAAAGTGAAATCTCTATGTCCATTTTGGAAAACTACTTGCATCCAGTTTGTGAAGCGCCCTGATATCGCACACAAGTACTGGTGCAGTGCGGGCTTACTAAAGTTGCATAACCAGACATACGGTTTATTATTCATGCCTAAAGTAGCCAGACTGAGAAAACGAGATAAGTCGGATCTGCAGTGTTTTGAGACGTGATTTTCTCCACACTTCTAACTTTTACTTATGCAGTTGAACACAGAAAACGGGACTTCTTTTCAATGGCACCGGCATGTTCCCAAGAGATTTCCAGACCAAGATGATTCCAGGCATCACTAATGAGTTATGGATAAAACTCATAGACAAAACTGCATGTTATTTGTTGAAATGAAGAAAAACGAGTGAACTAGAATAGTTCTCAACAGGGCCAAAGAAGAATTCATTTCTAGCTGCACAGTATGATAGAAGGAAACTGTATAAAACTTACAGATTAGACCTGTAAGTCTTTCTACAAACGGACACCTTTAATACACGGCTTTATTTGGATACGGTGATACCGCCTGCTTCGAATCGTTCAATTTCAGCCCGATTATCAGTGTTAGTCAGCATACGCATTACAGAATCCATAAGCTTTAGATTTTTGGGGGAGGGGCACAAAATGAAATAAACATAAAAGTAATAATATTAATTATGACACGGCGAAATAGGCGACCCAAAGCATAGCCCAATGAAAGTATTAAATATTTCGTATTTCGTCAATGATTACACGATCTTTCGGTTATCTTTGATTCAAATTTATATAGAATTAGAAAGCCAGGAGGAAAGTCATCTTCATTAGTGTAGGTATTCAAACCACTAGAAGGATAACAGCAGATAATGGCGATTAGAATCAGCAGTTTTCCAAGGCAAAAATTTATAAAGCAAACAAACCTATAAAGCAAAAATTCCTCGAAAGTTCTGAATAGCAGAGGTCGTTTGGCCACCTAAAAATGGAAGAGAATATGTTCTTGAATACAGTGCCCTGATGGCGGCTGTAAGTATTCGAAATGGAATCTTCATCGTTCTCCAGCATTCAGGTAGCTTAATATGGAGCGTGTGATTCACAGAATATTTTTGGTTCTAAACCTGTCAGAACAACTCGATTTCTTACTCATTATTTCCAAGCAGATAAATACCAAATTGACTAACGCATAATGCTACAGAAAGTTAAGTGGGAAAAAACAGTAGGCGAGCCAATAGCGGGTTTCAAGCAAAAAACAGCAGACATTTCCTGAAAAATAGCATTTCTGGCTTATGGCGGCGTAATAAAAATCAACGCTGCAAAAATAGCTACATTACATAAAACGCGTTAAAAATTATGGAAGTGCGAGAGTCACCGACAAAAGATATTACGAATTTACGTAGAAGAATAACCATGGGGCTTATGGACGAAAGCACAGGTATTCTGGTCAAGGAAGAGATAAAAGTCATCCCAATCTGAAGACGTAATATTTGTCATGACTGTGAAAACCTCAGTGACATGACTACATTCGGCTTCGGAGTCGATGGAACTTTCGACACAAGTCAAAAAATTCAAAACAGCTTGCAAGGTTTTTTAAAATACATCTTAATTTTTAAAAAAGTGTTAACATATCAGAGGCTAGATTTAGTAACTTTTGTCAGAAAGGTTCCCAAAGCAATGTAAAGCTAAAAAACTTTAGAGCAGGAAACTTTAATTTCATTCATATCTCATCAACAGAGTATTCATTAACTTTTGGAAAGTTTTCTTAGCTACTAAAGAACCGCTAGTAAGAAAACAACCATAATGACAAAAATGGTCAACTGGGAGACATACCGACGTCCAACAGAAAAACAGTTACCATGACAGAGAAACGCATCAAAAAACTTTTAAAATACGGCTTACCTTCATGAAGGTATTGTAATAGGAGAGAAAATGAGTGAAGAGATCCACATAGCGAGCGGAGAACAGCACAGCGAACAACACC